CTCCCAGTGCCGCACCCGATCCGAAGCCGCCCCCTCCGTCCTTCCCGGGCGGGCGGAGGGGGGCTGGGATCGCGGGGTGTGTTGGGGGGCGGTGCACCCCGGGCCCTGCGGAGCAGTCCGCTTCCCCCTACTTGCATCTCCTGCATGTGGACTTCTGACCCCTCCGACCGAGGCTGCTGGGTGGGACTGGTGGTGAGGGGATGCAGACAGTCGGCGTCAGAGTGGGCGGGGCGGTGCGGGCCTTGGGGTGCCGAGCCCGGGCCTGGGCTGGAGACTGTGCCTTCAGATGCGCGCCCCGGGAGGGAAGACGATAGGCGCTCAGGACCGTAGCCCTAGGCTCCCAGAAACCTCCAGGAGGATAGGGAAGCCGGGCCAGAGCTAGAGTGGAGGGTGGTGAGGGGTTGCAGGGAGGGGGTGGTGTGCGAGGCCGGGAGCCCTACCTGGGACCCTCGGTGGACAGCGAGGAACGACAGTCCGTACCTGCCCCTTCCGGACCTCGATTCAGCCTCAGAGCCTCGGACTCAGCCCCACACTCACACCCGACACACCCGCACTTGCACACTCACACTCATGCACACATACAGATGTGCTCACCCACACTCACACCAGTTCACAGACACACATCTGCACACCCAACACACATGAACACACCCACACAACCAGAACACACACTTAAACACATCCTCCCCCCCCCCCGCTTTCATCCCCTCACACAATACACACCCGGTGATACACAACTTGCACACACTTGCTCATCGACACCCACACCACATATGCTCATTCACACCATTACACACCCCATACACACACGGACACACACATCTATCCACATGGCATGCAGGCACATACACTGACATGGACACACGCATACACACCCACGCAGTCACACACAACTGTCAAATATAGCCTCACACACAGATGCATACTCACCATCACACACACGCACATCCCCCCACACACCCTAACCCACTGCAGTACACCCCTCACACCCCACAGCCCTGGTGCACGCACCCTTCCCCCAGCTCAGCACGGACACACACACATTGAAGCAACTTACATACCTCCTGTAGCCATCCATGCTCACTCACAACCCTTTTGAGTATCAGTGTGTACCTGTTTATTATTTATGATAAGTAATACCGCATTCATGGCTCCTGGCATTATCCCGGCCTCTCTGGCACAGGGATGTGAGTGCTGTTGTCTGGGCTTGGTTATGACCCCTCTGCTGTGTCTTCCCAGTGCCTGGCCCAGCGGTCCACTGGGGAAGGAATGAACTTGAGCAGAGAAGCCCCAAGGCTAACTTGCCCTGGAAGCCATGTGGTTCTGAGCTTCGGCTAGAAAGGCCCCAGTCTCCAGATACACAGCCACCACAAGCAGCGTTCTGAAGCCCCTGCCCCATGCCCTGCCATCCCCATGTGGCACCATGGCCCTCTGTGGAGAGTGACACCCTCACCGAGTGGGGAGCCAAAAGATCCGGGTGCTAGTGAAGGAGGCCTCCCCAGAGGGCTTCACTGAGCCTCTGCTCCCCACCCGTAGGGAGGCTGCTGGACCGGTGCTCTCTGAGATCTGGTCCCTACTCCCCTGGCCAAAGTCCACTTTGTCCCCTGCCCCAGCGAGGCAGGTCAGGGATGCCAGATGTGCCCTGGGCCTCCATCCTCCACCTAGTCTCTCGATGTCCCCCACCTCCAGCCACCTGCCTGGCTCTCTGGCCCCACCCACCTCCCTGTGGACATTCCAAGCTTCATCACTGGCTTTCGGTCTGGTCCCAACCAGTCGGGGAGAGAACACTGTCTCCTAGGGCAATAGAATTCTAGCATTGAACATTTCCAGCTGCAGAACAAGAACTTCCCCCTCCGGTGGGATGGCTTTCTGGCCTCATGATGACCCCACCCTTGGAGGTGGTGAGCCCTTGGAGGACTCGCTGCAACTCTGAATGCAGAGTGGTCCATGAGAGAGAAAGAGCCTCCAGACTGTCACTGGTGGCCACTGAAAACAAGGTCCCTATACTGCAGGGAACGCTGATGAATGCACCCGCTGCCTCCGAGTCACCCAGCCTCTGAGTCTTCGAGCCAGGCCGCCTGGTTCCATCCCCCACTCCCCTCTTCACCAGGCGTCAGTGTCCTCATCTGTAGAATGGGATGTTGACAGGGTCCGTCTCCTGGGATCACTGTGGAAAGCCATGAAGATGCTGTGCAAAGCCCCAGTTCACGGTGACGCCTGCAAGGAGACAGTGCAGCGGGCTCTTTCTGCAGACCTCCCAGGGCCCTGGGCTGGTTTTGGCCTGCGTTCAAATACAGTTGGATGGGGTCTGTGTTGTTTCTACTTCTGACTTGCTGTGTGGCTTTGGGTTTTCATGAATTCTCTGTGCCAGTGTGCCAGGAATTGAGGACCTTGTCCTCCCACGGACAACACTGAGCTCCCAAATTGCCATCCCACTGTTCACCACCCCGGGTGGGGGCTGGGGCCGTGTCTCCCCACCTCTCTTCTCGGGGATCCTGAGGCCTGGGGGAGGAGAAAGGGGCCTGGGAGCAATGGGAGTGCCCGTGCTATTGGACAATGACTCAAACGCATGTCCCCTTCCTCTGCTCTGCAGATGCCGGCGCTTCACATGAGTGTGGACGCGTCATGAGCCTTCCACATATGCTGAGGCTGCCGTGGGTCTGTGCCCAACACCCACAGAGCTCCGGAAAATGCTGAGCGGGAGGAAGGGCTGTGTGGGGAAGTCGCAGGGCCGAAGAGGCCGAGAGCTGGGGAAGCCGCCAGAACCCTGGTGGGTGCTTCAGGAGCCAGGGCAGGGAGTGCATGCAGGAGCTGATGCCATTCACACCCTTGGCCTGGCAGAGCTGCCCTGGGGGAGCTGCCCCCCCAGCTCAAAGCCGGCACACTGGGCCATGCACTGATGCTGCCTGGTCCCTTCTCCAGCAGACTGAGATGAGGTCCTCTGCAGGGGTGATGTCAAGGGGGAGCAGATTAAGGGAGAGGGGTCTTCTACTTAGCAAGTCCTCACTGTGTGGACACCCACACACCTCTGCCCATAGGACTTCCTAGTGCTCCCATCATGGCGCCAAGGGGCTGGCCCTGGCTGGCAAGTGGGGTGTGCTTGGTGAAGGAGTTGAATGTGGGCTTTGGAGCTGGTCAGATCTGGGCTGGCATCCCGCCTCTGAGAAGTCGCAGTCCCCTGATCTCTGGGTTTCTCTGTCTGTGGAGCCCACCGCGCAGTGCCAAGGTCAAGGATAGAAGAGACAGTGCCTGCTCAGTGTAGTACCTGACACATCCTGGGTGCTTCACAAACCCTGGCGGAGCCCAGGGCTGAGGCTGGGGGGCACTTGAGAGAAGCCCACCTCCGGGAAAGCATCCTCCAACAGCTTCACTGCTCAGGAGGCAGTTCAGTGCTCTGGCCCCTGCCCTTTCCACATGAGGGATGTGCATCTCTCCCCCTGTTCATGGAGCACTTGAACTTGTCACCTCATTTCCAGGACAGCGTTCCTACCCTCACAGAGCACGCTGGCCAGGCTGTCAGGGTGACAAGAGTTGGCAAACGAGACAGACAACTCAAAAGTGAATATCTTCCCTACACATAAACTGAGTAGCACAATCATTATCTGACCTCACAAGAGGTGTGGAAGTCCCTGTGCGTGCCAGAGGGGACTTTTTGTGGGGCTGTTGGTTCATGGAGGGGAGAGGTCGCTTCACATGGTGAAGAGGCCAGGGAAGACATCTTCCTGGAGATGGACATTTATGAGGGGCCCTTATGGAATCCGTGTGCTGTCTGGGGTTCTGCTGTGTCCAACAGGCCAAAGGGGCCGCCTCTGTGGCACTGGCTTGGCTCCCCTGCCTTGGCTGGAGTCAGTGAGACTAGGGATAAGGACCTACTAGCTGACCTGGAAAGGGACCACCTCCTCACTAGCTGGGGACATGGGTCGATAGCAGTGCTGGGTGAGGGTGTGGCTGGGTGAGAGGCGGAGGCCACCCTAGCCAGCCACTTCCTGCTCCATGGCTGAGCCAGTGCTGCTGTGAGATGGCCTAGCTGTTCACTCATCAAAGGAGAGACATCAGAGTGGCCAGCCCTTCAGCCCCTCCAGCCCACCCTCACGAATTCGGCATGCTCTGGGATTCGCTGGAAGCACCCCAGTGTGCCCTGGGATTCACTGCCCTGAATCAGCTCTGGGCACCTGTGCAAGTCAGAGTCATGGGGATGGGGTGGGGACGAAGAGTATGTGGAGTGTGGCTTTAACGTGGCTGCCAGATGTCCTTATATCACAAATTGCTTAGGCTTCCCCTAGGTGTAGTTGCAAGGTGGGGGTGGGGTTCATAGCTTTCCCATGGCTGTCCGGCCTCATGCTCCTTATGAGCGCCTGCACTGGGACCAGTGGATTCCCAGTCTCAGCCGGAACACCTGAGCGGGGGTTGAGGACCTTGGGTAAATCCCCCAGCTGCTCAGCTCTGGATACCTGCGCTGTGGAGTGCACATCATCACAATGTCCCTCCACAGGGAGGCCGATGGTGGCTGAAACGATGGGGTACAGCGCTCATCACACAGCTGGCGTCCAACAGGCAGCCAGCAGAGCTGCAGGAGGGGACTTAACCTCTCCCCAAACTTCTCTCCCCTCCCCCGCCACCTTCCCAGCCCTGCAGCCTACAAAGCCCCCGCGCTGTCTCCACCAAGCCACTGTCTCCCTGCGGCCAGGAAACCCAGGGCAGGGCAGCCCTTCTGCGTGCGCTCGGAGTCCCAGAAAGCCGCTAGTCCGGAGAGTTCAAAGGGCATCGGGAGCAGCCCACCTGGCTCCGAGACAGCAGCGGAACTACACTACCCAGAATTCCCGGAGCTGGTCAAAAAGGAAATGTCGTTTTTGCAAAGAGAGGCTCAGCTCCCCCGGCAGCTGCAGAGAGAGGGAGCGAGGGGGAGCGAGAGATTACTAAGGGGAGGGCGGGCTGTGTGCGGGGAGCGAGGGTGGAGAGCCTGGCGGGCGGGGAGGAGGAGGCGGCGCCCGCTAGCCGCCGCCGCCGCCGCCGCCGCCGCCGCCGCCGCCGCCGCCGCCCCGCCGCCTGCGGACCTGCATCCCCGCAGGGCTGGCGAGCGGGCGGCGGTCCCTGCGTGCGCCGGCTGCGCTCGGCCGGCGGCGGCGAGCGGACGCGGGGGCCGGGCCCGCGCAGGGGCCGAGTTTCTGCAAAGTTTGACCCGGTTGCCTTTCCGATGCTGCAGCAGAGCGAGGCAGAGCGGGGCGCGCCAGGCGGCTGCGGCGCGGCGGCGGGGCTGAGCGGCGACAGCGCGCTCACCATGATCATAAAATAAAGGAGGCGCGCGGGGTGGGGGCGAGAGAGCCCCGAGCCTCAGCCCTCCGCCCCCGGCCGCTCCCCGAAGCCCCGGCCGGCCGAGGGTGGGGGCCGGGGACGCCCACGCCGGCCCCAGACCCCTGTAGAGCCGAGGGACAGTGCCCGGGGAAGGGGGTGGGCGGGCGCGGGCGCCCCGAGAGCCTGCCCGCGCCGGGGTCAGGGGCGTCCGGAGGGCGGCGGCCCGGGCCAGCGGAGCGGCCCCGGGGCAGGTGAGTCGGCGGCGCCGCCCGGGTGGGGGCGTGCGCGCCAAAGTTCCCCGGCAGCGGCGAGCGCGCCCGACGCGCGGGGACCCGGGGCTGCTCTCGGCCAGAGAGGGTCCGCGGAGGCGCCCGACGCGGCGGGGCAGGGGCACTACGCTCTCTGAGGACCGAGAGACCCTGGCCGGGAACGGAGCGCCCGCCGGATCAGACGGCCCTGGTGGGTGGCCCTGCGCCCAGGGGCCAGAGGGACCCGGGTGGGAAGGGGCGCCTGGCGCTGGCGGCGTGGCGGCGAGGGCAGCGTAGGGCAAGTGCTCGCCGCCCCCTGCAGCGGCAGTTGCTCGCCGCCCACCCCGCCCCCGGCCGGGAGGGTGTCAGCGGAGATGTCACGGGTGGCGATTATTCGCTGGCGCGTGCGGTCGTGCGGCTGCCACTGACGGGGCGGGCGGGGTGGGGGGAGGGCCGCCGCCTCCGGGGAGACCGCCCAGAGCTGCGCCGTCAGCTCCGCAGCCCGCGCCCAGCGCACACGCGTCGCCACCCCCGCGCGCCCCCCGCAGCAAAGTTCGGCTCAACTTTGAGGCGGGCCTTGACGCGCTGTCCCTTCCACCTCCCACCAGGTCCTCGGCGGCTGCAGCGAAGCAGGCGGCTGCGGCCGGAGGCGACAGCGGCGAGGGGACGCGGCGCGCCCGCGTGGGGGCGTCCGGCCCACACCCGCGAGTGGGCGCAGACGGGGACCCGCGTCCCACTCCCCCGGCACCGGCGAGCGGCCGGAGTCCGGGGCTCGCCTCCTGGAAGCCCTCCTGGAAGCCGCGGGTCGGCGCTCGCCCCGAGCGCGCCGGGACCTAGGCCGGGTGAACGGAAACTACTCTGCAATTGACTCGGCCGCGCCGGGCGCGTGCGGGTGCGGGGCCCGGAGGGAGCGCGTGCGGAAGGCTGGAGGGCAGGAAGTCGCGCTTCTGCAGCGAAGGTGGCGCGACCGCGCGGGGACGGAGCCTTCCTTATTTATGATCTGCCGGCGCTCGCCTGCTTCCTCCGAAGACTTCAGGGAGTGTCTGCGAGCTGCCGTCCCCGCGTGTGAGGCACAGAAGAGCTGGATGTCAGAGCGACATGACTATTCATTAAACTCCAAACTTTTCTTTTTTTAACCCAAAGAATATCGGCGATTTTTGTCCACTGCGAGAAGAGCGAGCCCAGGGCTCTTGAAATGCAGCAGAATCCTTATTTATAAACAGGCCGCGGTAGTGATATATGCAAACCCCCTCTACTCAGTGAGTTTTCTATCCTATGGATAACGGTCTTGAAAGTTGAGATTGGAGAGCAGCGCCTTCTGCGCTGGGTCCTGCAGCCTACGTCCTTTCAATGCCTGGTTTTCTCTGTGACTGCTGGCCTTCCCTGGAGATCAGAGCGCTCCTGTGTGCCATGGGCTGTATTCAGAGCATCGGAGGCAAAGCCAGGGTCTTCCGGGAAGGGATCACGGTGATTGATGTGAAAGCCTCCATCGACCCGGTCCCCACCAGCATCGATGAGTCCTCCAGCGTGGTGCTCCGCTACCGGACACCCCACTTCCGGGCCTCGGCCCAGGTGATCATGCCGCCCATCCCCAAGAAGGAAACCTGGATCGTTGGCTGGATCCAGGCCTGCAGCCACATGGAGTTCTACAACCAGTATGGCGAGCAGGGCATGTGAGTACAGCCGGCAGTCAGCTCTGGGGATGGGGGACTGCTAGGGGTGGCGGAGCTTGGAGGCCTGGTTGTGGCCCATAGGTGGGGGGGGAAGGTGGAGATACCATGGAGACAGGGGGAAGCTTTAGGCAGGTATGGAGGTGGCCTCCTTGGCCTGGTGGCTTCTTGAAGGGTTTGCCTGTGGATCCAGATTGGGGTCATAGCCCTGCACCCTACCCTGCCACTGCTTCCCCAGGGTTCCTGTGTCCTTCCCTGCAAGATGCTGAGAAAGCAGTGGAACATTACTCCCAGTGTTCCCTGGTGAAGCAAGTGTGCCGTCCGCCTGGAGAGTGGCCGCGCCATCAGGGTTCACCAGAGAGACTACAGGGCTGCTCTCCAGGCTCTGGCTCTGTGGTGGCTCAGGGCAGACCCTCAGGCCCTCTGCAACTCCCGGACCTGTGTGTTCTGGGCTTTGCGATTGGGCCTCAGTGATCTTTCTGGTGGCTTCAGGTGTATTCCGGGACCTGGGGGGAGTGCTTCACTGTTCCAAACAGCTCTGTGTTTGAGAGCACAGTTAGTTTTAAAAGCTGGATTTGTTTCACAGGGTAGCACTTTCTGTCTCCAAGGTCGAAGGCCCCTTTATGCAGACGACTCCCGTGTCCCTCCAGCGGGGCCCTAACAGGAACAGCAAAGAGGAGCCTCTCCTCTGCAGCCCCAGCTGTCTCCAGAGTGTGCCTAGACTGCTGGAGGTCCCTGTGGAGACACTGGGACCCTCGGTCTCCTTTCCTGGCCTGCTTCCTGAACCCAGAGAAAGCCGTCCCCGGGATGAAAAGGACTCCATTTAGACAGAGTTGGGAAAGTGAATTAACCTGAAGGGTCACCCTAAGACAGAGGTGGTGAAAATAGCTGTTTCTGAGTGTGAAGACCCTTTGGAGAGAGCCAGGGAGGCCCCGGGGGGCAGCCAAGCCACATAGCCCGTGACTGGCCGCAGACACTCCCAGAGCCTCTCTCGGTGTCCACTCAGTGCAGTTATCACTTCCCGGTTTTGCAAGTGGGGAAAAGAGAGGAGAATTTCACAGGAATTGGAATTTATCACTTGATTTGAGAACCTCGTGGGCCACTTGTAAATGAGAGGGGTGGGGGATGGCGGGACACCAGGCCTTGTGGCTTCTCCACTTAATGATTCTGAAGTTCTAAAGGAAACATGAGGCTCACAGCAACCCTTAAACCCAGGGTGTGACTGTGACCATCCCAAAGACATGCATGGGGGACACATCTGAAGGCTCTCACCAGCCTTCTCCATCAGCCTGATTTCTGTGCCAAGCCCTTTGCGTCTCAAGAGCAGCTAGTAATCCAGTTCAGGCCGGGGGCTGCCTTTCTATTCTAAGCAGGGAAACATGATTCTTAGTTATGCAGTGAGGACCTTTTCGAAGAACCCTTAAGCCCAGAAACCTCCTCAGGCTTTGAAGGCATCCAGGACAGTTGTAGAAACAAAAGCTTTCTTAGGGGTTTTGGGCTAAGCCTAGTTTCTTCCCTAGAAGGGGTAGGGAAGCCAGTGGGTTCTTCTGAACTTGGAAAAATGTGAGCATTAGTGGGAGCTAGATTCTAACGAGATCGGTGCTGCTCGAGGTGGGAAGGCAACAGGCCTGGCCCGAGGTACAGACTCCAAGCCTCAGTTTCCCCATCTCTGCACACGGGCTTCCGATGTCTGCCCAAGACTTATTCTCCATCTGGTGACTCTGATTAGGTGCGGGTGATGTGGCTGGAGCCAGGTCTGACTCTCAGACCTGAGACGACCTTGCCCTCCTTGGGCCAGTCCTCATGACTTCCTAGGGCGATCTGGGTGGGAGGCCAGACTCTGCCACTTTCCAGGGTGTGACGTTAGGCAAGTCCCCTTACTGCTCTGAGCCTCACTTTACACATCTGCAAACTGGGCTGGGAATAGCCCCTTCCCCATGGCTTATTGTGAGAGTCACTCAAGCCAACCAAATTGGCCAAGCTGTCAGCCCTGCGCCAAGCTCGTGGTGAGTACTTACTGCAGGCGCTGATGGGATGGGGATCGTCCTTAGCAGTGTATTCATTGTGACTGTTATTCCGTCAGACACAAGTGGCTAAAACTACAGAATTAGGACAGATGTCAACCACACCATGTAGCGAATTTTCTCCCCAGCCCAAGTCTTTCCCTGTCACGTAGGGCCCACTTCCTGAGTTTAAAACTTTTTAAAGCCACGCACGAAGCGCTTACATTTTAAAGTGGCTCCAGGCCATTTTCCTTGCTTTCCTTCTGCCCCTGACGTTTCTCTTTGCTCATACTTGCTCTCGGGACTCCTCTTTCCCTGCAGGGAGTCTCTGTCCCACCCAGTTCATTCTCCCTGGGTGCACTGGCTGTGTAATCCCAGTTGCGATAGGACCAGCCCCAGGGAAGGGATGGAGTTGGAGGCTCCCTGAGAGGGGCGGCTTGGAGCAGATGGGCAGAAGGGGTCAGCGTCCTGGCCCCAGGCTTCAGCGAGACAGCCCCAGGGGTTCCATTTGGTGTCTGTCTGTGAGGGTGAGAACTTCCCATAGGCGTCTGTGAGGATTCACTCAGTGTGGGTGAGCGTCCCGTGGCTGAGACGTAGACGAGGCAGCTGCCTTGTCCTTAGGACAGCAGAATTGTCCTAAGGGGCTGAGCTGGCAAAGAACAGAGCCCCGGATTCAACCTGCACCCTCAAAGGGCTCACGGAGAAGGCCAGGATGTGGCCTTGCTTCAGCTCCTTGGTGAATGGAAATAGAAGCATTTAGGTGGGATTTATTTATTTATTTACCTATAATTTTTAATTTTTTTTTTTTTTTTTTTTTTTTTTGAGGCAAGAGTCTCACTCTTGTCACCCAGGCTGGAGTGCAGTGGTGCCAATCTTGGCTCACTACAACCTCCACCTCCCAGGTTCAAGTGATTCTCCTGCCCCAGCCTCCAGAGTAGCTGGGATTACAGGTGTATGCCACCACGCCGGGCTAATTTTTGTATTTTAAGTAGAGACAGGGTTTCACCTCGTTGGCCAGGCTGGTCTCAAACTCCTGACCTCAGGTGATTGGCCCACGTCAGCCTCCCAAAGGGCTGGCATGAGCCACCACACCCAGTCTTAGGTGGGATTTAAAGCCTCCTCCCTGTCTCCCTTGCCCCAGGCCTCCTGTGATGACTTCCATTTTCCAAGTTTTTAAGCCTTGTGGCGTGAAGGAAAGGGAACAGTGGTTGAGATGACCAGGAACCCCAACCAACCCAGAGCTGTCCCTCTGCTCTGCCTGGCCCAGGGTCCTGTAATTCTTTGTGCGGGTGGGGGGTGTCCTGTGCATGGCAGGGGGCTGGGCAGCATCCCTGGCCTCTACTCCATGCCAGGAGCACATCCCTGCAAGCTGTGACAATCAGTCATGTCCCCAGTCAGGGCCAGACATACCAGACCCAGACAATTCAAATCCTTAAAATGAAAGCCAGGCCCTGTGCTTTGCGGCTGGAGAAGGGACAGCCAGGTAGCAGGAGCTAGGTTAGGGATTCCATTCTTCACAAATGGGCTTGTATCCAAAATGTTAATTCCAAATACTTAACCGAAATCCACAATACCCCCAAACGTTATCCCTGCTTAAAATTAATCCCTAAGCCAGGAGGATAACTTTTTAGAATGACATTCTGGGTCTGAAATATTTGAAATGGAACAATTAAAAAAAAAAAAACAAAAAACAACCATCTCAATAATATCCTGACTTTTACAGACAGAGCTGGCAAAGGGTGAGTTTCTCTGTGCCAGCATGAGAGGTTTCTATATGGCTTTGGGTCCAACCCACATCACTTTAAAAGCCAACCCCCCCCTTCCAAATTGTTGGAGACACCTGCCTCCACAGCCCGGCCCCCGCAATTCCTCAACTGCCACCTGTCAGCTGGCACAGAGTCTCCTAAGTGACAAGTCACAATTTCTCGCCTGTGTGGGAGAAGTTCCACATTGTCCCTGGTTTGCCCTTCTCTGGAGCCCCCTGGGAACCTGGTCCACAGCCACAGCCAAGGCCAAGTCCAGGGGCAGTGTATGGCTCAGGATTCTGCCACAGGGAAGACTTGGCAGGGAGGCAGGGGAGCAGCTCAGATAGAACCTTTGGGTTGACAGGGACACTGCCCCATGCCCATGTGTAGAAGGGTGGGAACCCCAGCTCCCAAACCTTGGGCCAGCCTCTTAACCTTTCCAAGCCTCACTGTTCCCATCTATAAAATGGGAATATGAGTCCTCCCTCAGAGTTGTGATGATAAGAGCTTAGCTCAGCATCTCAGGTATACCAAGCACTTAATATATGGCAGTTGTCAATGCCATGGCTGTCAATCATAATTACTGATAATGTCTTATTCATTACACGGTGCCTGTCAGAGTCATCGGAAAGGAGGCAGTCTTGTTGCTGTTGGTACATTATCCCTCCTCTGGGTTTTAGATACCTTTCTTTAGCATGAGTGCCTTGGACCATGAAACCTCTGAGGGTCTTTCTGGTCGAGACATGTGCTGCCACTGTGTTACGGAAGGCCAGTGACCAGCCTGGACAACACAATGAAACCCTGTCCCTACAAAAAACACAAAACAATTAGCCAGGCACGGTGGTATGTGCTTGTAGTCCCAGTTACTTGGGAGGCTGAGGTGGGAGTATCACCTGAGCCCGGGGAGGTTGAGGCCGCACGTGAGCTGTGATCGTACCACTGCACTCCAGCCTGGGCAACAGAGTGAGACCCCATCTCAAAAAACAAAAAGGCTTGTGGGAAAGGACAGGGCAGGGTTGGAGGGACCTCTGGCTACCACCCAGCCGTGCTGGGATGACGCCGAGAATGGCTGCCTTGGGCCTCTTCCCACCTGCTGTCTCCCAGCGTCCTCCCCAGGAGCTCAGGAGGGCCTCATTTTATGATGTGGTCGCAGCATCTAAGACCTGAAGCTGCTTGCCTGAGCAGTCTTGCTCAGCGCCAGCAGATCTGGGGACAGGCCATGGGGGAATGTTCCTGTTGACCACGTGGCCTCTTC